CAAAAAAAAAAAAAAAAAAAAAAAAATTTAAAATCATGTCAATTATGTTCTCCAACCACAACTAGGATTCAATTACCAAAATAAATGCTTGACATGGTAGCAACATCTAAAATACAGGTACACACACACTTCTTACATATCAATAAAAAAGGCAAATGATCCATTATAAAAATAGACACTGTGATATAAATAGGTAATTCATCAATAGAAAACCAAGATGGGCCAAGTTTTCTTAAGCTTTGGCCCTCTCCCGTACCTTGGGGAGGTGAATCTCCTCTTTCTCTCTCTCTCTAATTTATTTCTTAATAACCTATATTTTCCAATCTAAAAAAAAACCAAAAACCAAGATGGCCAAACAAAAAATTCTCATCTTCACCAGTATCCACAGAAATGTAAACACACACACACACACACACACACACACACACACACACACACACACACACACAGCACTTGATACCAATCAGATTGGCACTAACTAAAAAGGAGAAACTATCAAGTGTTTATGTGGTACAAACTCAGAGAAGAGTGATTAGTCAATATCTAATATTTAATAATGTCAAAATATATGACCTATACAAACACAAGAAGAAATATATACTAAATGCAGTACTGATATTTGCAGCTAAAAATTGAGAAGGACCTAAATGCCCATCAATACGGTAATAGATACGTTCCTGCAATGAATTTCTATAGAGAAGTTAAATAAACCAAATCTACATTTATTAACATGAACTCCAAAAATAAAAAGGCATATGTCAAAAGAATAACTACAATATGAACTCCTTTATGTAATGTAGTATGTTTGTGGATACTAACATACATAAGGAAAGTCTATCTATGCTTGAAAAGGATTCTTGCCAACTTCATATGGTGTCTAATCTGGGAGAAAGGAATGAGATGAGAAGGCTTTAAGTATTTAAAAAAAAAAAATTCTCAAAAGTTAAATCTAAGACATAAGGCAAAGTCTTAAACATGTATTAAAACTGAGCAGTATGGGAGAGTCTCATATTATTTTCTGTACTTTGGATATATTCATCAAGTTAAATAATAATGAAAAATAAAATAGAAAACGTAAAAAGTTGATCTGAGCTGGCTACCTCTTCAGGAAACAGGAAATAATCTGTGATGGTAGAATAAGAAAACTTCATTGCCAGGAGCAGGGGCTCATGCCTGTATGTAATCCCAGCACTTTGGGAGGCAGAGGCTAGAGGACTGCATGAGTCCAGGGGTTTGACACACTAGCCAGGGCAACATGGTGAGACCTCATTTCTACAATAAATAAATAAATAAATTTGCTGGGTGTGGTGGCGCATACCTGCAGCTCCAGCTACTTGAAAAGTTGAGGCGCAAGGATCGCCTGAGCCCAGCAAGTCAAGGCTGTGTGGTGGCCGTGAGCATACCACTGCACTCCAGCCTGGGCAACAGAGAGAGACTCTAACTCAAAAAAAGAAAAGATAAGAAAATGAAAACTTTACTTCTTCAATTCTAAGACAAAAAGCCAAAAAGGAAGCAGACTAATGTTGGCATATCCAATGACAGGAAGAAGGTTAACAGTCTTTACTTTCAGTACATAATTATCTATCTTCAGAGTGCGATTCTCCTCTGTACACGCACACCTTTCAGTGTGCCTGTTATGAAGTAGTCCAGAGAGCCTTTTTTATCACCTGGGGGTGGGGGATGTAAAAGTTCTAGTTTTCTCCTAAGGTAGAAAAAGGAGAATCATTAGCTGAGTTGTATAAAAATTGATCAAGGATTCTAACCACTTCTTAAATGGACTCTCAACCAATCATTTGGTTTTCAGCCTTTACTATATGAGGTACCTGATGCTTCCAATAACAGGGCCTTTGTTCTACAATATAAGTACAGTTAGTTCTTGGCTTTCCTCCTGCTGGCTTAGTATTCAGTTTTCTCAGATCTGCTAGTCTATTACCTTTGTCCATCTGCTTCATTGCTTCTAAAATATTTCTGCCATGTCTATTCTCCCATTTTCTTTGCCTCTTTAAAATCTCTTTACTGTCATTTTCACAGTTCCAAAAGGAACCAAGGTAACTATAAATGTTCAATCTCTCACAAAGAAATCTTTTTATATCGTTTATCACTATGAAAATATCTGCTTAATTTATCTAGTTTATAAATACATACACAGACACATACACACACACACACACACACACACACACACACACAGCACATAAGTGCATCCTGTCCACAACCCCTAACGCAATACATGGTATATAGTAGATGGTAACAGAAAACTCTGGTTAAAACCATATGGGAAATTCCCTGAACCCTACCGCCAAACAGCTGCAACATGGGAGACACTCATTTGGCTCAACCTCACGCACTCCTCTCTTCTACTAGAAGATGCCTATGCTATTCAGTGGGATCTGGTTCCAAGCTAAGATACTCAGAATCTATCCACAGAAATTTTTAAACTGAAGTTGGAAAGGAAAGTCCCTTTTCTTCTTTTATCAAAAAACATAACTAAATAAAGGCAGATAACCACATTACCTTCCATGAATAAAGATTAACCAGAATAGAAAATCAGAGCTGTCCCAACAAAATAGGCTCAAGAGGAACAAAAGAGAGACTGCCAACAACAATCGAGTCCCTAATTTCATTTACTTGTAGTCCCCCGGAGAAGCCATGGTTCTAATCTTCTCAGAGTTTGGTTGTTTGGCTATTCCTTTTGTGTGTATAAGCTACTCATTCCTTTACTGTCTTAATAAATACCTCCTTTATGTTTAACCTAGGTCAGGGTGGATATTTGCTTATGCTAGGGTATATGCTGCTTTTAACAGATCATACTCAATTCCTAGCTAATGCATGCAATCCAACATTTTACATTTTTACCATTTACACAAAATAAATGCAATTTTACATTCATTTATATTTTGTTACATGAAATAAGATATATTTAGACCTAGTACACATTGGTTTAAATGCGTTTAGTTATGTCACTACCAATGGACACCTGCTGAAAAAATCTTATGTAGATAAAAATAAATCTTATTTTCTTTTTCAAATCTCACATGTGAAGAGGAAAAGATATGGCAAGAAAGATATTCATTAGAAGCAAACTGGCCAACATAACTACTTCCTATTAAGATGAAACTTTTCTATCTTATAATCTTTAATACTCAGTTTTTTAAAAAAAATACAAACTGACTATTGCAATTACGTTACATTGTAAGGAATTTGTTTCTTTAAGTTAAACAGGGAAATTTATCAGAAGTGACAATTTACAGATGCTTCTAGTTGAGTAAAAACATATGAATTAGTGACACTATCGTTTTATCTTTAAACATTTCTAAATCTTTTTCATTACAATAAAGTTCATCATTTAAAACTTTTTAGAAGTTTAGCTACCACTTACTGCTTCCAGTTGTTTCTTCTTCTGTACTAGCAACTCCAACATGAGGTTGACATTGGCTAAATCAAGGTTATCTTGGTCAGTTCCCAACAAATCTTGAAATATTTGCCATCTGTGGCCATTCTAAAAATGAAGAAAAGAAGAAACACAACTTCCTAAGAAGACTGTTTTAGACACTCTAAAACAAATGTTTAACTGCTACTTCCTAATATGCTTTATTACATAGATATCAAAAATATCATGTTCCAACCTACTCCTTCCCGGCTCCTCACTGCCTTCTAGTTACTATTTAAACACTATTTCTTCCTTAAATGAATTTAGATAGCAGATACAAATGGTACATTCAAGACAAATGCTAGGTTAGAATTTCTTAAAAAAAAAAAAAAAAAAGAATATCTAAAGGTGTAATTTCTCTTCTAAATAAAAGACTAGATTTTAATAATCTGTCTAGTCATATTTTCAACTTTGCATTTGGTATTAATTTAAATTCACTTGCCTCAATAATTTGGAGCTAATCCTTCAAAATTAGGAATCTCTCAGCAGTTTTTTTCAAAATAACTAGGCATTGTTTCACCCTGCAATACAATCTTTCAAATGTCATGTATTACAAACCAACTGTCCTAATGTAATCTTACCAGATCTTTCAAAAGAGGGTCACCCTAGTAAATGTAAAGTTAAGAAAGTTATTTATTCACGTACAACAATTCTAAACAAGTCTCCTTTAAGAAAAATCAATAAATACTAAACTGTAATATCTAATTAATGTTAAATAAAAAGAAAATGAAATTTATCAAAAATAGTAATAAGAGTTGAAACATACGGTGCTACTCACTGAGTGGTCCAATTTGAACCTCTTTTCCTCAAATCTTTGCTTCTGTTTGAGAATGAGTTCATTCACTAAAAAGAAAAACAAAACCAAAAGCACATATAATTTGTATTTTTATTAAGTGTATCATCTAATTCTTCTGTTTAGATGAATACTATTTTACCTTTATAAAGTACAAAAACTCAAAAGATGCTAAACAAAAAAAGTTAGCTTTTTATTTTATTTCAAGTTAGAACAGCGTTGTTGCTGCTACTACTGCAATTACTACACTACAGGCAAATTCTTCAGAACAATGTACTTTCTCTCATGTTTCTCATTGATGATACTATTGACACTTGAAAAGAGACAATTTTTCACTGCGTGAAACTGTCTCATGCCCCACACTTTAACAGGCACGGGTGACTGAGTATCTACTATGAGATAAACACTAAAGTTTTGTTCTGTTTTGTTGTTTTGTTTTTGAGTTGAGGTCTCACTCTGTCACCCAGGATTGAGTGCAGCAGCACAATCACAGCTCACCACAGCCTCCACCTCCTGGGCTCAGATGATCTTCCACCTCAGTTTCCTGAGCAGCTGGAACTGCAGGCACACACCATCATGCCTGGCTAATGTTTTAAAAAGTTTTTGTGGAGACAAGGTATCATTATGTTGCCTAGGTTCGTTTCAAACTCCCAAAGTGCTGGGACCACAGGCATGAGCCACTGCACCCAGCAAGATAAGCACTAAAGACTTTTATTTGTTCCTCTTATGTCTGTAATTTGTCTATAAATACCATGGAAGACAGTTAGCTACCTATCCAAAAAGCATCCTACCCTTCTTCTTGATAATGAAATGATTTTTTTCCAAGTGTGAGAATGGCATATAACTTTCAGAGAAGCTAGATCCCTCTCCAACCACATGATTCTTGACTAAACCTCAGGCAAATCCAGTCATTCCTACCCTTGCCAGTGACTAATGTGGGGTGAAGTATTTGACCTAGTTTTGACCAACAAGGGATGTGCTGTCTTTCAGAAAAAGAATGACAGGAGAAAAAAACAAATTATTTCCCTGACTTCACAAGAGGATGATATCTAGAACTGCTTAGAGCCATCTTGCAATCTAGAGGGTAGCTAGCCAAAAGACCAAGGCACATGCTAGGGATGGAAGAAAAAACAATGAAAAGACATTGACAAGATCACCAAGCCACTGAACTAGCTAGCTCTGGAAATTCCTTTCCTATGAATCAGTACATTTTCTATAGTGTTTAAACCACTTTTAATTGTATTTTTCTGTTTTCCTGCAGCCAGCAAATAAACACTAACTGATAGAAAAACTTTATTTTTTTAAATAAGGAAAGCAAGCACTAGGCTAGTTTCTCTCCATTTGGACATGAGGGAATATTAGGACAGAGAGCATAAGGAGCTTACAATGTCATAAAGAACAAGATAAAAGATGGGATACAAACCCAACTGTCTGATACCTTCTACTAGACCACAAGGCAAAGATACATATTTTTGGGGAAAAAAAAAATAGACAGATACCAAGCCCATACTAAGGGTCTAAGCTTCAAAGACAAATGACCTCAAGCCACTCAAACTAACAAGACAAATGCATATGATGCTGTACATGTAATATGGATTCAGCACTATCACTGAAATAGATTTACAAAGTACACAGGTCAAGGATCAATCCAAATGTTAATAAGCAGGTTTCATATAGAAGGTAATGTTAGAATTGGGCCATAACAGGCACACAGAGAATCACTAAGCAGAAAAAGAAATAAAGAATTCAGAAGAGATGTCTGTGTGTGTTTGTGTAGCAGAATTACAAAACAACAGGAGATAAACTGATTTAAAATCAATGTAGATGAAACACAGGGTCAGAGTGATTTTGTGAATGATTAATACGGGCTATGAATTATGACTGGAAATGTAGGCAAATTGGAGCCTGTTCGTGAATGGCCTGAACTGTACATACCTCACAAACAAAGCTATTAATATAATCCAGATTAAGGTAAAGGATAGATCTTGAAATAATGCAGTGAGAATAAAAGTTTAATGTTCCCATTATAGATTTAACCATCTGAATAAGCAGCATGACTATTAAATACTTTATATGTACATGCCATACTGCATTTTACCAAGAAATCTCTTATCACTGTATTTGATTCTTAACAATAATGTAAGACAATGTAAAATTAAGTTTTCAAAGGTCAAAAAATTAAATTCAAAATAAAATTATAGCTAATGAAGGCAAAAAGAATATGCAAGAGAATGTATTAACTGACAGGCCATATTATGTAAAGACACTTAAATTCTATACTTAACAAATTAAAGTTTTTATTACTCTTATCAGATTTTACAGAGCTATCTAACAAAAATGATTTTTTTTCTTCATTAAAAACTGTATCCTATAGTGGACAATCATTATTATTGGGGAATAAAATAAGTAGTTTTATTTAGTACCCTCTGTTTAAAATGTTTCTTCATCAAGGATTATTTTATTACTTTTGTACTTAAAAAATTTAACCAAAAAAAAAAAAAAAAACTCTTAAAATGCGAGATATATACAATGGACTTAATATTAAAATATCAATATATCAACATCATTAATGTCACAGATTTAGAGGGAAACTATTCAACTTATGAAACAAGTTCAAAACTGCAACAACTTACAAACAAGAAAAGCAAAATGGTGAATTCCATATAGTAACTTTAGAAATGTATTTTAATAGGCCAGGCGCAGTGGCTCACACCTATAATCCCAGAACTTTGGGAGGCCAAGGCAAGAGGACTGCCTGAGCCCACGGGTTCATGACCAGCCTGGGCAACTTGGCAAGACCTCATCTCTACAATAAATCAAAAAATTAGCCAGGCATGGTGGCCACAGCCTCGACCTGCTGGGCTCAGATGATCCTTCCACCTCAGAGCATGCCACTGCACTCCAGCCTGGGCAACAGAGTGAGACTCCAATTCAAAAAAAAAGAAAAAGAAATGTATTTTAAAAGCAATGTTTTGCTATTAGCAAAAGACACCAGCTAGCATCCTATTAATACTATAGATTTCAGCATTTAATGATATAATCTGTTTTAATCACCAGTGCAGTCCCTGGCACCCAGTATTTGTAGAATGGATAAATTAAACTTTAATAATATGCTCTTTCGGGGGGGGGTGGAGGGAAAATAATATTCTCTTTTATGACTCATATATCATGTTTACCTAACACTTTCATATTTCTAAGATAAGCATTTATCTGAAACCATACTCAAGTCTTAGAACTGAGATCTAAGGCTGGGCATAGTGGCTCATGCCTGTAATCCCAGGTTGTTGGGAGGCCAAGGCAGGAAGATCACTTGAGCCCAGGAGTTCAGGACCAGTTGGGGCAACATAGCGAGACTTCGTCTCTGCAAAAAAAATTTTTTTAATTAGCCAGCATGGTGCGCACCTGTAGTCCCAGCTGTTCAGGAGGCTGAGGCAGAAGGATCACCTGAGCTCAGGAGGTGGAGGCTGTAATGAGCCATGATTGTGCCACTGTACTCCAGTCTAGGTGACAAAGTGAGACCCCGACTCAAAAAAAAAAAAAAAAAGAAAGAATTGAGATATAAACCAAAAAAATAGTTTATAACATTTGTTCATTATAATTCTATGGAGGCTTATAGCCTCCACAGTAATAAAATCAAACATTTCTTGATATTAAGAAAAACACATTTCTACTGCTAAAGAGACTCCATTCTAACTGTCTGTTTAACGGCAGGACAGTATAGTAAAAGCACAGACTCCTGAGCCAGATTAAGACCAAATTCCAATTCCACTACTTCTTTACACAAGTTACTCAACCTATCTGTGCTTTAGTTTCCTCATTTATAGAATAAGATTGCAAAAGAAGTACATATCTCACAAGACTGCAATGAGGATTAAATAAGTTCAATTACATAAAGCATTTGAGATACTACCTGGCAGTAGTAAAGGTTTTTTTTTTTAATGTGTCAGCCACTTTAAAAAAAACTTCAAACTTTACATACATGTTGCATTTATATTAATGACTAAGAGGATTGTTCATGAGATAGGTAAGAAAAATTCAATTTACAAATTTTGTATACAGAGAAAGGTAGAAAAAGAGAAAGCAGGGGAGGGAGTACAATGAAAGAGAGAGGGGGTGCAGTGAATGAGGAAAAAAAGGGGAGAGAAAGCACACAAGAAAAAGAGGGAGGAGAGCCAGAAAATAAGTCTTGGTGAACTGTGTGAATTTTTTGGTGTGCCAGTACATATAAATATTTACACTATATTGTGGTCAATTAAGTGTGCAATAGCATTATTTCTAAAAAATAGTTAATTTTAAAATGCTGTATTACTAAAGTGCTAATGATCGTCTGAGCCTTCAGCATGTCATAATCTGCTTGCTGGTCTTGCCTTAATGTTGATGGCTGCTGACTGATCAGGGTGGTAGTCACTGAAGAACAAGTGGCTGTAGCGATTTCTTAAAATTGGACAACAATGAAGTTCGCCACATCAATTGACTCTTTCTTTTACAAAAGATTTCTCTGCAGCATATGATGCTGTTTGATAGCATCTTACTCGTGGCACAACTTGTTTCAAAAGTGGAGTCAGTTTTCTCAAACCCTGCTTATCTACTAAGTTTATGTAATATTCTAAATCCTCTGCTGTCATTTCAATAGTGTCCACAATATCTTCAGAAGGAGAAGATTCCTTCTCTAGGAAATACTTTCTCTGTTCATTCATAAGAAATAACTCCTCACCCGTTCAAGTTTTACCATGATATCACAAGTCAGTCACATCTTCAAGCTCCATTTCCACCTCTAGTTCTCTTGATACTTCCACCATGTCTGCAGTTACTTCCACTCCTGAAGTCATGAACCCTTCAAAGTTTTCCATGAGGGTGGAATCAACTTCTTCCAAAATCCTTATAACATTGATATTCTGACCTCCCATGAAACATGAATGTTCTTAATGACATCTAGAGTAGTGAATCCTTTCCAAAATGTTTTCTTTACTTTGCCCAGATTCATCAGAGGAATTATGATCACTATCTGTGACAGCTGTTGTGACTCAGGGAATAGGGAGGCACGAGGAGAGAGAGTGTATGAGACAGAAAATGGCAGGTCGGTGGAGAGTCAGAACACACACTAACATTTACCAATGAGGTTTACTGTCTTACATGGGTATGGTTTGTGGTGCCCCGAAGCAATTATAATAGTAATATCAACAATCACTGGTCACAGATCATAATAACACATATAATAATACAAAATTTTTAAATATTGTGAGCATTACCAGAATGTGACATGAAGACACAAAGTGAGTACACGCTGTTGGAAAAATAGAAGTAACAGTCTTGCTGAATGCAGAGTTGCCACAAACCTTCAATTTGGGGGTGGGGGGATGCCGTATCCATGAAGCACAATAAAGCGAAGCACAATAAAACAAGGTATGCCTGTGTGTACATACACTTGTTACAGGAAAGTATTACAGGTAGATCAATACGAATTTCAAGCATAAAAATACATTAATGGATAAAGCTATGTGTGGGATATAAAATTTAAGAGGAATTTTACAGAGAAAAGGAATTAATGAAATTTCTTACATTTAATGAAAAGTTTATTTTTATGTTATTAAGTAACAAATCACTATGATATTTAGATTCCACTGGATACATCTTTAAAAGACTTTGTTCTGAAGTCATACATTTATAATACTCTAGAAATTAAATTCTTTACAATCATTTAAGCTTATGAAGAAAAGTTCTGAATGCTAACTTAAAAGTGTGTGAGGAGGCATAACATTTTTCAAAATTCTCACATAGGTTATAAATAAAGCAAAAGGGTCTAGAGACCTGCTGAAGAAACTGTGGGTCCAGCTCTCTATCCATGACTTAAGGCATCAAAAGTGAAAGGGTATAACTTATCCACAAAGCAGATGCACGAATGCCAAGAATACCTCAGAATCGTATAATATATGCTTAATTTCTTTACCATAGACACGAGAAAATCTGAAATCATTTAAAAAGGCTCAGGGTCTTTTTAACTCATCTAAGAGTTACAAGAACTATCCAAATCATAATCTTAAGCTGATATAATGAAAAATAAATAATTTAGTAGGTTTTTTTTTAGTATAGAAAAAAGTGGTATTCTACTTTTATGAACATATAAAGCAACAGATTACAGTGACATTCTTCTGAACACACAGGACAGTCTCTATCTACCTAATGTAGAAATCTTATGATTTGACCACCACTGTTCAAAGAACAGGGCTAGAATAAGTAACTGGCAGAAAAACAGAGACAGGTATATCAAGAAGAAATGTTATTTCCATGGATGACATATATCACATTGGAAGCTGCAACTATAATTAAAAGACTTCAAATACTGACATAAAATACCCTCCAATTACCTAAGATCAAAATCTCATATCCATAAAAAGGTTAAAAACAGATCACTGCCAAGATAATTTCTAACTTAAAAACATCAGAAATTGTAACTTCACTATCCATTAGATACATGCATTAGAGAATATATATATCTAAAGTAGGAAATCATTTTCCAACTTAAATAGTACTATATTTTTGTATTCCATCCATACTAGTATGGATGTATACAGTACTACTATAGAGTATATAGTACTCTCACCATCTAGAAACTCACATAAAGGAATCTCAAACCTGTAGACTCACTAAAAAATGTTGCCTGAAAAATTTAGTAAATACCAAAATATTCAGAACATTAGTTCCATTCTATATTTAACCACTCCAAAAGAATAAGTAGTTTTCCAAAGTCATGACCACAGAAAGAAGAGTGATCCTAGATTCCACAGAGAAGCATCAATCCAAATCTGCAAGTTCTGCACAACAGATTCTGCTTTGCAGGACTTAGTTTCCCTATTACCTAACCTAGCCTATCAAGTCTAGTCCTGCAAGGTACCATACCACTTAGTATTTCTCTTTGTTCTTTCCCTAAGTTCCTTCTCCATTTTGCTGTAAGACTTTATCTATTGAAAAATGTGTCATTCTAGCAGAAAATCTTCAAGTTATTTCCTTCAGGGCTTCTTTCTGCTGTGCAAATCATCCAGGAATTTTCTTCTATGAAAAAAATATCAAAATGTAGTGAAGAGTGACAGAGAAAAAAGGATTGTACCTAATGCACTTTTAGAGCAAAGGGAAAAAAGAAAACAATAGCTAAAAATTTCAAATTCATGATTTATTATAAGCAACCATTTGAGCTAAACAAATCAAACCGCTACTGAAGCACTGGCGGGTCAAAATCTAATACAAAAGTAGGCACCACACCCTAACTCTGAGTATGTTAGGCTTTAGAATGAAGAATTCCCTTTTTTTTTTTTTTTGAGTCAGAGTCTCACTGTGGAGTGCAGTGGCACGCAAATGGCTACTGCAGCCTCAATCTGCTGTGCTCAGACGATCCTTCCACATCAACCTTCCAAGTAGCTGGAACTACAGGCACACACTACTACACTCAGATAACTTTTTTACTTATTGTAGAGACGAAGTCTTGCCAAGTTGCCCAGGCTGGTCTTGAATTCCTGGGCTCACGCAATCCTCTTGACTCCACCTCCCAAAGTGCTGGAATTTCCAGGTGTGAGCCATCACACTCAGCCTAAGAATTAACATTTTTGACATGCAAACTCAATAGTACCCTACATCAAGTCTATCCATATCTGAAAATTATTCTTCTTCGACTTATTATTAATTTCCAAAACACTCAGACTAAAGGTTTCCTACAATATCTTAGGCAAATAAGCATGTAGAATTTTTTTTTTAATATTCACAATTGGCATTATTCCCAACCGCTTCCTCTTAAAGCATCCCTATAAATGTCTCCCTTTTCCAATTCTTACAACTCCTCTCTCAAAAGTTCTTCTTCCATGTCTTCCTTCCCAAGTTCTTACTTTCCTATTGTCTCCCCAGTCCCAATTTGGGAATATCACACTCAAGTTCCTCCCCCCATCCCCTCAATATTCTCCAAACCTGGGTTCCCTCTACCCATTAACTCTTTCTTCTGTACTTCTCACTTCTGCCCCAAAAGCATAAGCAGCAGAAAAATATACAACACTGCATATAGAAACCTAAAGGTGTTCTGAACCTCTGGCATTTTTATGAAACTTCACATCTAGTCCTGCCATCTATATAAGAATCGAAAAGTTGTGTCAATCTTTTTAATAGAACTTAAAAATAATACAAGATGGTACTAACAGTATACGGAATCTATGCCACAAACCAAGAAAAGGAAAGCACTGTGGTGAGTAGCAGAGAGAAGAGTGTTTACCTGTGAGTTAGGTTTTCTGAATGAATTAGTGTTAGTATACACTTTTGGGGATAGAATACTTAAAAATATAAAAATCATTCCAAAGACTCACCCAAGAAATTAGGATACAGATGGTCAATATTGTCCACAACATAGTTACACTTGGGACATCTATTATTGTCCTCCAAACTCTGATGAATACACTTGTAGCTAGTAGTAAGAAAAAAATAAAACAGGCTTAATTATGTCAATGAAAAATTAATAAACTGGTCATGAAATATGCCTCTAAATCATCTGCAACATAAGTAACCTAATAAATGTATTCCAGGTTATATTTTTGCATTATTAACAATATGCATCATTTATTGAATAAACAGTACACAAAAGCTATTCCAAAATAAACTCAAATAACAAGCCTACTGGACACAAAATTTTAAAAGATATGCTAACTAAAATTTAAATTTATGTAACTTAAATAGTTCATAACAACATAAGAAAAGTAAATGCCTATGGCTCTGGTAAGCAAACAGACTATTCATGTTCTTGGAGTGCCAAAACCTTTAATACATAAAGAGCTCATTAAAATAAAGAAAAAAACCCAGAAAACTCAAGCAAAGACAAAAATTAGTCAATAAGCCTAAGAAAACCATCATTTTCACTAGTAACAAAAAACTGATTCAAAATTACATACGAATACATTGCCAATCAGAATGGAAAAATAAAATATCACATAGTTAAGGAACACATGTGGGTATGAACAATCTCATGGACTGTTGCAGTAAATGTATCTGGCACAACTTTCCTAGAAGGCAAGTTGCATGTAAAACCTTAAGGCTTTTGCATCCCCCTTAATTAAGCGATTTTAATTCCAGGAATTTATCCTAAGGAAATATATATGTAGAAGTGTGTTCAGTACAGGATTATCTGTAAACAGCAACATAAAATAAAAGCAAACGAAACACTAGGAAATTGATTAAGTAAATGTGTAAACAGCAATCCAGTGCAATGCTATACAACCAGACTTTAAAAATTACATTGTAATATGTATGCCATAAAAAATAATCTATTAGTAGTCATTGGTGAAGAATTGTGAATACAGAAAATGATTCCTTTGTTACATTATATATTTCTATAATTTGTACATCTATTCACTTCCTTTAATAAAAAACTAAGTACTTTTTCAACCAAAACACAGATAGTATAAATTTATCTTAGCTTTATAAGCTGAAGCTGATTTTTATATCTACTTACCCCCTCCACCTTATCAAAAAACAAACAAAAACAATAAAAACCTACAGAACCAGGTTTTGCTGTTCTGGATATCAACTACTTTCTCATCTCACATTTGTTACTTTCAAGGTAAGTAAAAAGACAAACGGTATGGAAAATCAAAGTAACAATGAACTTTGGCACATCATGGATATCTGAATTGAACTAATGACTTGCACAGTGTTTCAGAAACAATATCACCTCTTGCAACTATGACAAGGCTGGGATCATCATATTACCACAAAATATGCTTCATATCTGACAGAATATTTCCTACACAGAAATGTCACTGAAGTAGATAACACACTCAACATTTTTGTTTTCATTTTTACTTCAAGGGAGAAGTATAATGTAGATATGCAAATACAATACACTAAGAATCCCAATATGGAGAAATGTGTAGTGTGCTCAGAAAAAAAGGAAATGGGTTAACATTTCCAGGAAGACTTAACCCTTTAAAAAAACCAGTGAGTTCAAACAAGGCAAGTCATGAAGAAGAGAGAATCTGGAAGGCTATTAAAGAAATGGGTTACAGATATGTAGAAAGAAGACATTTTAGGTTTTAGCAAATAACTTTTGTAAAAAAATTAAAAATGCTAGAAAATGAACAAATAATGTGACAAGAACTAGCTGTGTTTTTAAGTCAGAGTTTGTCAATATACAAAACAGTTCTAGAACACCCTCTCCTTTCTTTTCTTCAGCATCCTAATCAGATCCCATCTCAATAGACTTTCTACCACACTCTCTCTCCCAGAAGAAAATAGTCTGGAACATAGACAGAAGGAACAATTCCAGTGACTTTTCTGCATTGCAGTTGATAATATCCACCTATGGTATAAAATTAAAGTACATCAAATTACATACTACTGAATGAAACTTAAGTGAAAACAAGACACATCAAGTTTATTCTATAGCATCTACTACTGCACTACTACCCCAGAGTAGACATGCCCTTGTTTGAGGACTAGTCACTATCTTCTCTAGTACTTATCTCTGTACCTGTAAGGTTTAGGACAATACTCTGTTAAAAGTTGTAACTCAATAAATGTTGAACGTATGAAAGGATACGACCAAGAAAGTAAAATACTTCTGTTGCCCTCTGGCAAGTATAAAACGTTACTAAACATTCTATTTTTCTCATTAATCTAATCTACTTGGCCATCACCAGCCTAGACACAGTACGTTGGATGCCTAGAGAAGGATAAGTGCTTAGACTAGTACCAAAAATAGGTGATCATAAAGAGGTAACAGCTACATCTCAAATCTGCCTGAGAAGTTTTCAAGCTACTTACACTGCAACTGTTAAAAAGAATTATTTACTACCACAGTATGGTGATATAAATGGGTGACTGTTTCCTCTGTAAGTATATATTTGATAATAATGTATATTTCTCTATATATGCATATGTCATGTTTCTTCTATTATGTATATGCCTGCCAACAAAATATAAATATCTCTTTCTGTCTGTGCGAATAAGGATGAGTTTATATAAAAAACTGTTAGTGATCAGAAAAATCACAGAAAAAGAAGGAACTAGAACAAGAACAGCAAGGACAAATCAGTACCAGTTGTCATATATTTAAAAACATAAGAATGTATAATATATAATAATGTAAAGAACAACTAACAGCATAATGTAAGATGATGAATTTACTAGCAGTCCCAAAAGGCAATTTGACACCTAAGGCTTGCCCATTTGCTGGAAGATGACGATGCTAAAAAAGCCCATTAATTGTAATGAACTTGTAAGGAAGCAAAATAGTAAATCATAAATCAGGACTTGGTAGATGTGAGTTCTTTGAAGCGAGGTGCAAGGGACAACTGGAGGCAGCAAAGGAACAGAGACAAAGAGTCAATTTTATCTCTATATTATATAGAAGCCAGATCTCTTATTATATCCTTTCAGTCAGGCTCTAGCTAATGGTAGGTCTCAAATTGGAAATGAATAAAGTGAAAGAAATGCCTGCTATATTGTCTCCAACCTGTTGCTAGAAAAGACTTATCATCTGCATGGGGATGAGGCATAAACAATTATAATGTGGTCTAATTTGATATAGTGCTAATAATTTAGGTGGAGCTTTGAAATGGTATTACAAGTGACTTGGCTCCAGCTTCCCAGCCAGAATTTAAGTTAGAGGAGAGTTGATATAACAGGCTACTTTTAATGAATGAAGTTCCATAAACCTCTCCCATTAGGATAGGGTAAATAATTATGAACTTTGCTCTAAACAAAACTGCAAAAAAGATTCAGAGTATAGCAAATCTGACACTGAAACTGCCAGCCTTCCGTTTCATTAGCTCATGCCAGCATTATGGTCTCGATCCTACTAAAACCTGCCCTTTGGTGGGTATCTTAAAACATATTCTCATCAAAATATAACAACATACCTGCGCCTTTGGGAGGCTGAGGTGAGTGGATTGCCTGAGCCCGCGGGTTCGAGACCCGCCTGGGCAGCGAGACCTCATCTCTCCAATAAATCAAAAAAACAGCTGGGTGTGGTAGTGCATGCCTGTAATTCTGGCTACTTGGAAGGCTGAGGCGGAAGGATCGCCGGAGCCCAGCAGGTCGAGGCTGCGGTGGCCGGAAGCGGCCATTGCACTCTAGTCTGGGCGAGAGCAAGACTCCAACTCAAAAAATAAATAAATAAAAAAATAACATCATAACAACTTAAATTGTAGCAACGATCTACCCTTAAACTGTTTTAATTTGAGGGAAAGTGAAAAAAATAAAAAGTCATTTAAGAAACAAATGAAGCTTTCCACCAACAACTTAAAGACACCATAAAGATTATAATATTGACTAAAATGGCCAGGCCTGTCCATTTATAAATGCCACAGTGAATATATAAGTCAGAGGACAATTAGGAAAAATAAAAACTCCACTTTACAATCTATTTTCCACCTCAACAGTTTTAAATCTACAAAAGAAGAGGAAGTGGAAAAGAAACAAGAAGAGAAAGAGAAAAGATGGGAAGAGAGAGGAATGAAAGCAAGAGGGCAGTAGCAAAAGAAAAAGGTTGAATGATTTGACAGAGATCAGGTAAGTTTTAGTCGGAAAGAGAATCCTGGTCTATCAATGTCAAGAACTTGCTCTTTTAGCTGTAGATAAGTAGCTCTTAACTGAGGACAATTTTGTCCCACAGGGATACCTGCAATGCCTGGAGACATTTTTGGTTGTCACAACAGGGATGATGGGTTGCTACTGGGTAGAGGCCAGGAATACTGCTAAACAATCTACAGTGCACAGTTCAGTCTTCTACAACAAAAAATTATCTGACCTAACATGTTAACAGTGCCAAGGATGAGAAAGCCTACTCCAGATCACCCAATTTTCCAGAACAGTCAAAATCTAAAATCTAGCCGGGCTCAGTGGCTCAGCCTGTAATCCCGCGCCTTGGGATGCTGAGGCGAGTGAATTGCCTGAGCCCACCACGGGTTCGAGACCCGCCTGGGCAACTTAGTGAGACCTCATCTCTACAATAAATCAAAAAATTAGCCGGACGTGGTAGCGCACACCTGTAGTTCCAGCTACTCGGAAGGCTGAGGCGGAAGGATTGCCGGAGCTCAGCAGGTTGAGGCTGCGGTGGCCGGGAGCAGGCACTGCACTCCCGTCTGGGTGACTGAGTGAGACTCCACTCAAAAAAAAAAACCAAAACAAAACAAAAAAATCTAAAATCTGAAGGAAGTATAGTTTCCCATGAAATGCTAGGGTGCTGGATCAATTTACAGACAAAAAAACAGTACAGCTGAACAATCAACCTGGAAAGACCAAGACCACATCTGCTTAGCCTAAAATCAAGACCTACATGACCAGAATTTCATTAGAGATACAAAGTGGAAAGTGACTCATGAATCATAATAATGTCAATGCAATGATGTACTAGAAAATAAAAAGTATTAAAGAAAACAAGATTGTCTTTCAACGAAAAAAACCACACAAACAAAAAACTGGTAAAAAGCTTTTAAAATAATAGTCATTTTTTATCAGTGATAATCTATAAGGAGATGGGCAAGAAAGACTAGGGGAAGGGAGACATTTATATATTTTATTACAGCTTTCTGTATGATAAAAGTTGCTTTTTTAGCCAAGAATATATATATTGTGCTTAAACAAAAGGACTTACAGGCTGTTGTTAACACCCCATACACTTCATGATATCAATACACTTCATGATAAGGGATATAAACCTGCCAAAAATCATTTTCAACTTGAGCATAAAATCATGTCCCTAACTTCAATATGAATCAGAATATAAGGATTATTAGAACACAAGAAATACTAATGCTAAAATAATATGCCAACAAAATAGGTAAAAAATAAGAAAAAAATTAAAAATACAGAGATCAAACACCCATTAGAATAGCTACTATCCAAAAAAACCATCAACAGAAAGCAACAAGAGTTGGCAATAATGTGGAAAAAACCAGAACTCTTATGCACTGTTGGTGAGAATGCAAAACAGTGCAGCCCCCATAGGCAACAATATGAGAGGTTCTTAAAAAAACTAAAAAACAAAATTATCACATGAACCAGCAATTTCACTTCTGGATACATACACACATACACACACACACACAAGAACTGAAAGTAGGATCCCAAAGAGGTACTCACATACCCGTGTTTATAGCAGCATTATTCCCAATATCTAAGTGGTAGAAGCAACCCTAGTGTCCATCAATGGATGAATGGATAAACAAAATGTAGTACATAAATACAATGGAATACTATTCAGCCTTACAAAGAAAGGACACATGCTACAACACAGATGACCATTAAGGACATTATGCTAAGTAAAATAGGCCAGTCACAAAAAGACAAAAACTTTCAGTTACACTAGGTATACGTAGTTGAAGTCATAAAAACAAAGTAGAATAGTGGTTGCTAGGGGCTGCTGGGAAGGAGAAATGGAGAGTTTCTGTTAAACTAGTATAGAGTTCAGTTCTGCAAGATGAAAAAGTTTTAGAGATCAACTGTAAAACAAAATGGACATACTTAACACTACTGAACTGTACACATAAAAATGGTAATGATTATAAATTCTATGTTATGTGTATTTTGGCACAATTAAAAATTTTTTAAATACACAGATTCATGTGACATGATACACTCTAAAGATAACACTGAGCAAAAAGTTAAAGAAAAAAACCCCAAACTTTTTAACCCTCTATATCCTTTTCCCATTTCTTCTCAGTCGCTCTACTGGGTCTCCCACCTATCCCTACAATCAAGTGACTAATGCTTCATGCCTGGCCCTAATTGCTTTGTATCCGTAAGAACAATAGCCAAAATTCTTTTTGTTTTTTGAGTTGGAGTCTCACTCTCTCACCCAGACTGGAGTGCGGTGGCCGCTCCCGGCCACCGCAGCCTCGACCTGCTGGGCTCCGGCGATCCTTCCACCTCAGCCTTCCAAGTAGCTGGAACTACAGGTGCGCACTACCATGCCCAGCTAATTTTTTGATTTATTGTAGAGATGAGGTCACGCCAAGTTGCCAGGCGGGTCTCGAACCCGTGGGCTCAGGCAATTCACTCACCTCAGCCTCCCAAAGGCACGGGATTACAGGCTGAGCCACCGAGCCCGGCTGTCAAAATTCTTATTAGCAGTTAATAAATGCAGAAGTTTAAAATCCCACCTGAAAGGCCTACAGTAAATCAAAATGTTTAACAGAAATTATGCACCAATCATGTTTCCTACCTTGAACTGTCAAGCATGTAAAGCTACACAATATAAAAACAAAAAAAAAATTTCAGGATAACAAAATTAGTTTTAAAAGCAAACTTCTCATTGGCTACATTTACATAAGTATAAAAATGCCAAGAGATGATTTTACTGAATAAAGATTTTCTTACCAAAAGCTGTGGCCACATTTCGTCATGTATGCCTCTTCAATCATATCGAAGCAGATGGGGCTAAAAAAAAATAGAAAAATAATTAATACTTTTTTACTGGAGAAATTACAAATTGAAAAGGGCCAGTAACTGGACCAATGAAATAATATTTCAATATACAATTTAAAGGTAAGTCTTTAAATTATCAACGAGAGATAAAATCTCTATTAAGAGCTAAACTTTAGGGTATTGCTGGTAAAATGACAAACTGTTCAAGATGACCCTAAGGGCCACTAAGTTACAAAATGAATTCAGTGAGTAAATTAAAATGGTTCCAATATTTTAATTTAGCTCACAATTTTTAACAGTGCAATGCAGTCACCACAACCCTTTTCTACCATCTTCTTCTACCATCCCTATACTCAAAAGCACTACCTAGTCCTGTTCATCTAAATGCTCTCTTTTCTCTCTTATCCCAAAGACAACTAATTCCCTGAGTGATAAATTTACAGTTCCAGTTTCAGCAATGCTTCTAGGTAATGATGACAATGATAATAATAGCTAATATTAAAATAGAACAAATTATATCCATTAACCTCATGACATATAATCATTTAATTCTTTCAATAACACAGGTAAGTTATTGCTATGCCCATTTTTTTTTTTTTTTTTTTTGAGTTGGAGTCTCACCCATCGCCAGGCTGGAGTGTAGTGGCATGCTCACGGCCACCCCAGCATCAACCAGTTGGGCTCCAGTAATCCTTCCGCCTCAGCCTTCCAAGTAGCCAGAACTACAGGTGTGTGCTACCACGCCCAGCTTACTTTTTATTTATTGTAGAGACGATGTTTTGCCAAATTGCCCAGGCTGGTCTCAAACCTGCAGGCTCAGGCAATCCACTTGTCTCGGCCTCCCAAAGTGTTGGGATTACAGGCTGAGCCACCAAGCCTGACCACTAGACCAGGCTTTATAAACACTTTATAAACAAAGAAACTGAGGTACAGAGCTGCTAAAATCACATAGCTAAGAAGTAACAAAGCCAAGATTCAAATCCAGGTCTAGTTCTTAACCACTATCCTATACTTCTTTCTAATACTTTGAGTTAAATACCAATTACAATCCTCTTCTCCCTTCTTTTCCTATGGAGGATCAAAAGCAGAATAGTCAAAATCTGTCTGCCCCTTTGCAATTAGGGTCACCAAATAACATAGTTCTGGCCAATGAAATCAGTCTCCCAGAGGACACTATTAAGAACAAAAATGCAAAGTCTTGTAAAAAGAAATTTTCCTTTATCCTTCCCAAAACGCTGATACAGATATAACAGCAATCTTATGACCATGAAGACAAAAACCTTAAGCTAGGTTCCTTGATGACATCCTTGAGCAGCTGCATCAGCCCTGACTGCCTACTGCTGGACTTCCCTTTACATGAGAAAAATAAATCCTCACTTGTTTGAAGTCAGTGTTTATCAACTTCTGTCTTATTAACATACAAGTCCAACTCTTTTACTGATGGCATAATGAACTTAAAACTGTAACTGAGCCAGGCTCGGTGGCTCAGCCTGTAATCCCGTGCCTTTGGGAGGCTGAGGTGAGTGGATTGCCTGAGCCCACGGGCTCGAGACCCGCCTGGGCAACTTGGCCAAGCCTCATTTCTACAATAAATCAAAATGAGCCAGGCGTGGTAGCACGCGCCTGTAGTTCCAGCTACTTGGAAGGCTGAGGTGGAAGGATCGCCAGAGCCCAGCAGGTCGAGGCTGCGGTGGCCGGGAGCAGCCACTGTACTCCAGTCTGGATGACAGAGTAAGACTCCAACTCAAAAAAAAAAACTGTAACTGAAAATCACAACTACAAAAAAAATCTCAGAATATGGGAATGCAGCCGGGCACAACGGCTCATACCTGTAATCTTAGCACTTTGGGAGGCTGAGGTGGGAGGATCACTTGAGCTCAGGAGTTCAGGACCAGACTGAGCAACATAGTGAGACTTCATTTCTCAAAAAAAAAAATTACCCAGGCATCATGGCACACTGCTTCAGAAACTAAGGTTAAAGGGATTGCCTCAACCCAGGAGACTGAAGCTGCAGTGAGCAGTGATCATGCCGCTGTAAGCCAGCCTGAACGACAGAGTGAGACCATGATGTGTGTGTGTGTGGGGGGAGGATATGAATGTAAGGCCAGACGCAGTGACTCATGCCTGTACTTCCAGGACTTTGGGAGGACTGCTTAAGCTCAGGAGTTCAAAACAAGCCTACGACACATAGCAAAACCCCATCTCTACAAAAAATTTGCTGGACATAGTGACTATGCCTGTAGTACCAGCTAATCAGGAGGCTGAAGCAGAAGGACTGCCTGAGCCGAGGAGGTTGAGGCTGCAGTGAGTCATGATTGTGCCACTACACTCCAGCCTGGGTGACAGAGTGAAACCCTGACTCAAAACAAAATAAAACAAAAAAATAATATAAGAAATGCCTAATGGAGTCAAACATGTTATAGATGATTATAACACAATGAGAAAAAATATTTAATATATAATAATATATACAAGAGGACACACTAGCTGCAAGGGGACACAGGAAAGATAACTGAGATTTGAGGGTTAGAGAAGGGGGAAGGGCAAAAAAAGAACAACCAATTCACTAAATATGTCCGAATACAATACAAATCCATTTGGTAGCATTTTAAGAAAGAGATATTTTAAAGTTGAGGTCTTTAAGTATGTCATTGCTAAGACATAAACACCTCTATGCAAATAAAAAAAGCCACCCTCTTAAGTTGGACACAGCCCCACAATTACATGGCTAGGTGCCCTGTGGTATTAAAAAAGGCACTCTTGGCCAGGCGCGGTGGCTTAAGCCTGTATGCAATCCCAGCACTTTGGGAGGCTGAGGTGAGGGGACTGCCTGAGCCCATGGGTACAAGACCAGCCTGGGCAACTTGGTGAGAATTCATCTCTACAATAATTCAAAAAATTAGCCGGGCATGACAGTGCGCACCTGTAGTTCCAGCTACTTGGAAGGTTAAAGTGAAAAGATCACCTGACTTTAGCAGGTAGACGCTGGGGTAGCCTTGAGCATGCCACTGCACTCTAGCCTGGGCAACAGAGTGAGACTCCAACTCAAAAAAAAAAATAGGCCCTCTTGGTCAGATGTGGTGGCTCATGCCTGTTATTCCAGCACTTTGGGAGCATTATTGAAACTGGAACTGTAAATTTATCACTTGGGGAAATTAGTGTCTGGTATATATCAGTACTCAATATATAATTTGTTGAATAAATTAATATTTTTTAAAGTTGAAATTTTCTGGGCAAGTATTGATAAGTCTTCACAGTTGATTTATTATGGGTGCTGTGGCAAATCCTATAATGTTCATTGGTGGCACTACTGGGAGGTTGGACTGGCTTCCAAACAGACTGGAATACCTGTAAAGACATTCTGCATATGGTAAGCTTCACTGAATGCAACATACAACAGAAAGGTGATGGTATCGTTACTCAAACTTATAAACATATTTCCTTTGGGGCCTGACAGATCTCTTTCCCCAGCTCTTAAACATGCTTTGCTAAATGTGCTGTTCAAAAGGTTTGATGTGTTGATATCTAAAACTTTTATGATAGAAAGTATGGAGTTTGCTTTTGTCTACTCAAAGATAACAGTGTTTTCTAGAAATTAAACAATATTGGAACTTCAGGGCTTCATTCAAAGGAACTTTTTTTTCCTAAATCAAGTTTATATATAGTTTTAAAAAATAGAATTAGGACAGAATGCCCTATAATGAAAAACAGCAAAGCCTCTTCTTTCAACTTTTTCAAAGTAACCTACCTCTCAGAAGGAATCATTTTAATTTGTTTAACTGTTTCTTCTACTGGCATTAATAATTATTGTCATAACAGTTGACATCTGAGTGCTTATTAGATACTTGCTACTTTTATAGGTTTTTAGTTTTGGGGATTTTTTTTAACTTAATTGCCCTATGAGATTGATACTGTCACTACCTAAGTAATGTTAAGGACTTTGGCTTTTCCACAGAGCAGAAGATTTGCACAGAAAAGTGGTATGATTTGACATAGGGATGAAGCAGATCATTCTACCTGATATGTTGAAAAAGAGACTAAATGGAAGCCAAGTGTAGAAATGGTTATGGAAGCTATCATATTACCCAGGTGAAAAACTGTGCTAGATAAGACTAGGGTAGTAGCAGTGGGGTTGATAAGAAGTGATCAGATTTTTAGATATAGCTTGAAGGTAGAGCTATGGTTTGCTGAAGAATTAGCTGCTGGGTAATGAGAAAAAAATTAATCAAGGTCTTCAGTGTGAAAACAGGAAGAAGTGACAACAGGCTTATTTCACATAGAGCTCTCTATCATCCATTAGTTTACTTAAAACAAAACAAAAAAGGGCAACCCCCACGGGTCCCCTCCCACTGTGGGAGCTTTTCTGTCTTCTTAATAAACACTGCTTTAAAAAAAAAAAATAAAAAACAGGAGTACAGTACGTGTCATGTCATATAATGTGATACTAAAAGTACCTAAAAATTACTATCAAGTTAGATTAAGACAGCAGTTTTTAAGGAATATCTTCCAAATAACATGTGAAATAAATAGATGAAAGTTTCCATTTCTTCTCTTTTCAGCAAATACTAGCTTTTTAGCCATATTTAAAGGCCATGACTTTCAAGAAAAGTAGAATCAAATGACATTAATCCTAGCTATGCCATCTACAACTTTTTTGGGTAAGTAGTTTAATCTCTCTAATCCTATTTCCTCATTTGTATAACTGGGATAACAATTATATCATAGAATCACTGTACAGATTATTCTTATTATCTACGAAGTGCTCAGTCCAGTGCCTGGCACTTAATAGTCATTAAGTGGCAGAGTACACCAAAAAGAGAGAAGACAAAAAAATATGTATTAGTGATAGAAGTGTGTTATGGTCTGTATATTTGTGTCCCCCCTAAAATTCATATGGTGAAATCCTAACCCCCAAGGTGATGTTATTAAGAGGTAAACCCTTGGGAGATGATTAGGTCATGAAGTCAGTGCTCTCATGAATAGGACTGGTGCCCTTAGAAAAGAAGA